GGAGCACAGGCTCTGGATGCGCAGGCTCAGCAGCCATGGCTCACGGGGCCAGCCGCTCTGCGGCACGTGGGATCCTCCTGGACCAGGGCACGAACCCGCGTCCCCTGCATCGGCAGGCGGACTCTCAAAATCTGCGCCACCAGGGAAGCCCATTGATGCTGTTCTTATCCATTGTGTGGGTCAGGAACTGAGGCTTAGAGAATTTAAGTAACTTGCCCAGTTTCACAGATAACAGAGCCAGGATTCAAATCTAGGTCCTTTTGGCTTTTGAGCTTGAGTTTTCTTTTCTTTTTTTCTCCCCTCTTTTTCCTCCCTCCGTACTTTCTATCTGTTAAAAAGTTTTTAAATACTTCTTAGTTATACAAGTAATACACAACTGCGTTCTTATTTTAAAAGATCTAAAGCATATGAAAGAACAATGAAAAGCCAAGGTCCGTTTTTACCACTGTTGTCATGTCCCAGCACATATCCTTCAGACCTTATAGAGATTGACATTTGTTAGTGTGTTTTCTGAGTTTGTGTTTTCGTATATGTGGTCACACTCTTCCTGTTTCTGCAGCTTTCCCCCTGCACACAGTATGTCTACACTCAGTATGTCAGTCCGCATGGCGCTGCTTCATTCTTCACTACTGCCTCGGACTCTGCAGTATGCTTATATCCAAGTTCAAATATAGCGTTCTTTTTAAAAACTTTATTTTACTGAAGTATAGTTGATTTACAATGTTGTGTTAATTTCTGCTGTACAGCGAAATAATTCAGTTATGCATATATATATTCTTTTTCATATTCTTTTCTATTATGTTTTATTACAGGATATTGAATATAATTCCCGTGCTAAACAGTAGGACCTTGTTTATCCATTCTATATATAATAGTTTGCCTCTGTTAATCCCAAACTCCCAATCCTTCCCTCCCCCATTCTCCTCCTCCACTTGGCAACCACAAGTCTGTTCTCTCAAATAGTGTTCTAATCGATCTGTTTTTCCTCACATCTGCCAGCACTGGATATTAATCATTTTTTAAATCTATCAGATTGGCAAAATTTGAAGTGATTGGTACCTTCTTGTTTTAATTTCTTAGTTCTAGAGAAGTTAGGCATATTTGCATGCATTGTATTTCTTCTGCTATAAATATTCTTATCCTTTGCCCACTTTCTTATTGGGTCTTAGTCTTTTTTTTTTTAATGTATTTTTCTTAATTAGTTAATTTATTTTTGGCTGCGTTATGTCTTCGTTGCTGCTTGTGGGCTTTCTCTAGTTGCGGTGAGTGGGGGCTACTCTTTTTTGCGGTGCGTGGGCTTCTCATTGCTGTGGCTTCTCTTGTGTGGAGCACGGGCTGTAGCCGCATGGGCCTCAGTAGTTGTGGCGCACAGGTTCAGTAGTTGTGGTGCACAGGCTTAGTTGCTCCACGGTATTTGGGACCTTCCCAGACCAGGGATCGAACCTGTGTCCCCTGCATTGGCAGGGGGGGGGTTTTTTTTTTTTTTTTTTTTTTTTTTTTTTTTTTTTTTTTTTT